GTGCAAATACGTGACGATATCTCATGTTAAGTACATTTTTGTCTTGTGTGTTTTTTTAATCTTATTTCTGTAGTGCTACACTGATAGACAATAGCTGCTATGAAATACTGGCTTGCAAAGCTCATTTTATTTTCTTACTGATACTGAGAAAAAAGCTCATTGTATCTTGTGTTCAAAAAGCCTTTTAAAGGGATCTGTGAACCACTGTGTAATTTATTGCACCTAATTAACACAAGCCAATACTTCTACAAGTAATTAAATCAGTTTAAAAATGTTTCACAACTCACCCGTCCGTTATAAGTAACAGCTGAATTGCAGCAAAACACAAATTATAATGCATGCTTTTGTAACCTGCACTTCTAAGCGTATGTCAGCACTTGGGTTGTGTGCATGTATGTTCATCTATTTAAAAATGTAGTTTTAATTATGTGCTGTATATATTCTTTATTCTGGCATGTTACTTTCATCCCCATGTGTAGAAATTCTGAATATAAGGAACAAGGCAGTAAATAAGACTGGCTTTTAAAGACCAATTAAAGCAGCCCGTCATCAACCTTGCCATCAGCTGAGTTTGTAATTCAAAGTACAGATCTGCTGTAAATGGCTGGAATAAAATAGTGCCTGGGAAATACCAAGTCATTCTTGTTCCTACATAATAGGACTCTCCAGAGACAGTAACACTTCATTTCACAAACCAGCCTGCAACTGAAGTTTAATAAAACCAGAAGCTAAGTGGTTCCAAAGTGATGGCAAACTTCAGATAAAGCCTCGGTGGACCTCGATGGCTTCCTCCTGGTTGGTCAGGACTTTTCTGTGGCTTTTGTGGGGGTGGAATTTATGTGAAGTTCATTAAGTAGGTACTTTAAAGATTACATGGGTATGTCGATACCTGCTCTGTCTGTAGTTACTTCAGCTCTGCAGACATGCTATCTGCTTCAGATAGCAAAAGTAAATTTTCTGTTTCAAATGTGATAATATAAGACAAATTGTCCTGTCTGGTGAAAGGAATCCAATATCCCAGTCCCTGAGACATCAGAAATGGAGAAAGAGAGAAAAGCACTGCTGTGCTCAGCCTTCATGCAAATACACTTGTAATAGGTTCAGCGCTGGATGCTTAGGAATGCAATTAGGAAGATGTGAGGCAAGGGCAGGCAACGTGGGGAGTGGGAACAGATATAAAGATTAAAGCACTGAAACTGTGGATGGAGATGTACTTGATTAAGTTAAAATGTGGGGAAAAAAAAAACATGTTTTGAATTCTTGTGAGCTATTTAAGATTATGTGAGGAAAACAAACAAACAAAAATATTGGGAAAACATGCGATAGCAAGACCTGTTAGGCGGTGCAGTGATCTCTGCAGGCAGAGGCAAGATAAAAGATGATAGAACTTTCCATGTACTTAAAACCTGGACCAGGTAGTGATGTAGAAAAGGCTCCTGAAAGAGGAGTTGTATATTCTATATGTTTTATAGGACTGTTTGTCCTCTAAATCACACTGGGCTATGTAGGGCTGTAAACTCCTCAGGTAGAGGCCATCTCTTTGTGTACAGTTTTATGGCTGTTTTGGGTGGATACGTTGGTTGGTGAGAAGATGATGTGTCATGTGAAAGTGGAAGGAAAACGAAAAGCATAGGGGAAACAGCAGCAAAGTGAATCATATTAGAAGTGCAGAAGAAAAAAATCAAGGGGAAGTAAAACTACTCTAAATTAGAGATCATTCGGATTCTCCTAGGTGAAAGAAGTTTAGGAAATTTATCTTTATACCACCATTTTTTCTCCAGTGCAATAACTGCAAAACTAAAGGCAACTTAGGGAATGAAAAAGCAGCGATTGCAAGGAGCAGATATGGCCCTACAGGGCTCCTGTTCTTGCTGGTGGCATGTGTTTTTTAGTGCTTCCAAACAGACTTTTTATGAGCAGAATATAACATGTTAGTGAACTGACAGAGAGCTCCCTCCTGCCACGAGTTAAGTGCTGAACAGCTCACAGACCCATAGGTCTTGTGTTCTACTTTGAATTCATAAGAATTGGGCTTAAGGGGAAACTGGAGACTTGTTTTCTTGCTTGCATTTGGTAAGAGATGAAGTTTCTGGTGATTAAAGTACTGCCTGGATTATAGTGTTCTTCCCCAGAAATCAAGGTGCTATCCCAGCTGACTTCACTTTGAACAGGAGTAACACTTAAGTTAGACACAGAGGATCAAATTTGGCTCTTTTAAAGACATGCACAAATCCACGTGATGCTGATTTGCACTGTGACTTGGATCAGATCCGATTTGCTTTACACAGCTCAATCCAGATGTAATCTGCAGTACAGCAGATAATGGAGACCAGTTTTTTATTCCTTTGTCTCTGAATATGTATGAGGTTAAGATCTGATGGATAATGGATTACTGCTGAAATGTCGTACAGTTCAAGATTCTTTTTGAGGAGGGATTTTAATGAAGTTGCATAAATGATAAAAAAAAATTTAGAATGTTTCAAATATCTGATTCCTTTCTGCTCTTGTTACATTTTGGCACTGCTTTCTTTTAACGTGTTCTTATAAATGTTCTAAATTGCTTTGGAAGTGGATTATTTCATATGCCACTGTACCTTTATGGTTGGACTACATGATCTTAGTGGTCTTTTCCAACCTTAATGATTCTACATCTTATCATGTCTCCTTCCTCCTCATGTGAGTGCTAAACTAGAGCTCAGTCACGGTGCACCAGGATCAGAGTCCAGGTACTGGCTGTGGCCTCTCACTGGATGGCTGCTGTCATTGCCAAGAGGACGGATGTCAGCTACATAATTCTGTGCTCTGGGCCTCCTGCTGCTTCTTCACAAGAACTCCAGGGAGCTCTCAGCTTCCTCCTTTTACTGCTATACTGACGCACCTGAAGATCTGCTTTCTCCTACAGTCTTTAAAAGATCATGGAGTAAGAAAAGTCCTAAAGGAAAAAAAGGATTTTGAGATCATAATTTTTCTAGTAGTCTTGGCTTGGTTGCAGATGTGGTAGATAATGCCTAGGGCAACTCAAATTTGGGATATTAGCTTGCCCTGAATAAAAGTTGCCTGCGTTACAAAACCATTGTGCATAATTCTGCACAGCTTGACATGTAACGCTGCCTTAGCAGAAGAAACGTTCAAGGATAAAACTTGCATGAAGAGTAAATCACCTCTTGCTCTCCTTAGCTCGTTCAGGTGAGGCAGAGCTATGATGTAGAGTCAGCTGATATGCAGACCTAGCAGAAAAATGGATCTTTTTTCCCTGAGTTAGGCTGTCATCAGAGGAGATGCTTGAGACAACTCTATTACAGGTGCAGTTGAATCAATAAAGCATATTCATTATTCTTTTCCAGATGACTCTCCTGCTTCAATTTCATAAATTACTCTTTTTAACAAGGGAAAAGTAAGCAGGTATTATTCAGAGAATGTTTCATGTCATATGTGGCACTTTGCTGTTTCAATTGGATAGCTTCAGCAGTTTTCTTTAATATATTGTTTTCACTTAAGGCAGTAAAAATTTCTTTGGAAATCTATGACAATCAATTAAGTAAATGAGAAAATAGAATGCTTGTAATTAAGATAATCAAGCTACATGAAATCTACCCTACAAGTGCTAATATCTGTATATCTCCAAGCTGTATATTAATTAAGCACCATGTAAGTGTTGCAATTAGACTTAGGCGGCGGTGGTGAAAATGAGGAAAATCTGCAAATGATTGGAGGGGTTTTTACTGCACATGAAGCTCTAAGTTGTTTTAAAGCTCTCCTTGCTATAACTTGTAGGTGGCAGTGTCACTGCAGGCACTTCAGGGTGCCTGACAAGTCTGTAGCAGCCTCCAGCTGCTCCTGAAAGAGGTGACCCCAGGAAAAAAACCTGTGGTTAGAAACTGAGTTCTGAGCCGGAAATTGCAAAGGTGAGGGTGGAGGGAGACATGTGCTTTGACAGGATAATATTCTTCCTTGTGAAAAGTGAACCTATTTATTGATATCATACTTTCTGATAATACCACTTATGTTTCTAGAATGAAATGAAGAAAATGATACATAAAACCTTTTTATTATTTGACATAGATACACAAAAAAAAAGACAGTATCCTGATTCTCACTAGTTCATGGAGCAAAAGGACTTCATATTGCTCTTATGGTTTTGCTTTTCTTCTTTCCTTATTTTGATGTGAAAATTCTAAGGCCTCCCAGGCATTCCCACCTGAAAAATAGCATCTTAATGTACTTGTATCAGGAGCAAAGCCCCACATTAGATTAACAAGATAAGCTGAGTGCGTTCGGAATATGCTTCCTCATTAATGCTCCTGGTTGGGGCATGTGGAAGCAGGAGCCCTGTGACTGTGTGTGAGGAGGTCCTCTTTTGACCACTTCCTGTTGGTAGGTGCCTGTGGATGCCCCCCCAGCAGCCATGCAGCAACCTCAGGGTGAGTTTGTTGTGGTTTAATGAGATGTGGGTTTGGGGATGCTTGTGCTTTTTTCTTATATGTAGCTTTTGGATGGCTGCAAATATACCAGGTACCAGGCTGCAAACACACTTCATGTTACAGGGCTAGTGGAGCCGAAGAGCTGCTCCACTTTGAGGCTGCCAAACTGATTGTATGGGGATGCCAAAGCAGATGAGGAGCCCATCTGCTAACTTGCTAGATATTGCCATGGCTGTTATAAGATTAGCTCTTTGGAGCCAAATGAAGTAGTATGCCTGATCAGTATGGACATCAGCTTAAGTTGCTGTGCAAACAGTAAAGTAATATTTTTATCCTTCCTTTTTCCCCAAACATTTTTCTAAAATCTGCTTTCACAGGATAATATTCTTCCTCCTGAAAAAATGAACCTACTTATTGATACTTATTGGTATCATACTTTCAGATAACTCGACTTACATTCCTAGAGAGAAATGAAGAAAACTATGTGACGCCTTCAATTTTTCATTTGACTTTGTTGTTCTTTTTTTTTTTTTTTTTATTTGACATTGATACAAAAAAATAGTATCTTGATTAGCAGCTTTGCTGGCAATCCCACAAAACTGTAAATAATACTTTAATCTAAAAGAATGCACTCCTACAGACACGGGAGATAAAACAATATATACAATTTAGACAAATAAATACATAAGTACAGCCAGTTGTATATAATGATACACCTAAAGTTTGGTTACTGTTGATAAGCTTTTCTAGTTAATTACACTCTTCATTTACAAATGCCATTGCCATCTACGTTATAAAGACAAAAATCCCTGTAACAAATGAAAATTGATACTTAAGATTATTATTAGGAAAGACGGAAAATGAATCTTGAGACTTCTGATTAAATACTCTCATGAATTTAGCCAAAAAGTGTTTTGTGAAAAGTTCCTCCAAAAGAGATGCTTTCCCATAGATTCTTAGTTCACTGTGCTTTGTTAGTGGATGCTTTGAAATAAAAATGATTACTTCACAGTTTTGAAGTGACTAGAAGCCAGAACATCTTAACCAAATTGTCATTTGCCCCATGCCCAGTGAAACAAAATGACCTTTAAGGAGCAAATACTTCTTTTGTTTAATGGAAGCTCAGTGCAAACACTGTTATTTGTTAACAGTACCCAAGGTGACACAAGTACTTTTAAGTGAAAGGGAGAATAAAACCCATGCTGTCCACAAGTAGATGCATGGCTGTCACGGTTTCCCTTTCTAGCTCTAGATTGAAATAATGCAATTTCTGAGCAAAGGGAAAATTAATCTCTTTATTTATGTGTAACAATCTAGTGAAGCCTACTATGAGAAAACTAACAGAAGTAGAAAATTAGGTTTTGTAGATTTAAATTCACTTGACAATAAAAGAAAAAAGTCTTGTACATTCAAAAGTTAGGGCACACATGCTTAAGGCTCTTGAAACACTGGACAAATATAATGCCTAATTCAGCTCCATGCATAACAGAATACTACATAGCAAGCAGACCCTACACACATATATACAGCTGAATACAGAAGAAAATGCCTTAGGAATATGTACATAGTTTCCAAGGTGAAAATTTACATTGTCATTGAAGATCTATCTATTTATAAATGGCAGGAAATATATTTTTGAAGATGTTCTTTTCAAGGTGCACGCTCCAATTGTTAATGCAGTCTACTTCTACTAGGAGTAATTCAAGGCTGCTGTGCTACTTGAGCCCTGAGGTATCAGGACTGGGAGCCCTGCCGTTCTTGGTTTTATTAGCCATGGACTATAGAATCATCAGCAGAAGAATTAAAGCCACCAAATCCATATGATTGTGGATTCAGAAACCCCAAATTACAACACAGTATCAACAAATGGTAGAAGAGATTGCAGCCTTTTTTTGTAATTACTACAAAGTGTGCCCTGGTTACATGGTTACATTCATGCTCTGTGACCTACTGAGGGTTGGGGATGAATTCCACCCTAGTTTTCCTTCCCTAACTGCATATTTTGGGACCTGATTAAAAAAAACTGAATTTCACTCTCTGTTTCTTATATACATATATGCAATTAGTTGGACCTTGTTTTGTTGGAGTTCTGAATTTGTAAGGAAGCAAGAGAAACTGAAACAAGGACTGGGTCAACTAGAGAAGGATAAATCTTAATTATGCTGCAGGAGATTCAGTATTTTTGTATAAAATTACTGATTTTCATGAGCTCCTGTTGACTAGCTAGTAAATGCAGCGCTATCTGTTCTGTAGCTTCATGTTTTAGATTTGAAGTAGATCTCTGAGGCATTTACTGTATGGAGCTCAAATGCCAGATATCCTTCACCTTATTTACAAGTAATTCTCATGAAACAATAGTATTGTACCTGTGAATAACAGTATGTCTTGAAACTGCAAACCGTTTGGGGTAGGATCCTCATTCAATTGCTATTGTTGTTATAAAGTACTATGTACACCTATGGCAAAATCGGTATAGAGTTCTCCTTTAAATTCTGGTTCAGTTAATTTCTGACAACTTTATCGACATCCTGAATAACGTCGTTCTTAGCAGATTTTCATGTTACGTGTATCTCCCACTGAAATGAATGAAGCCTATGTGTGTGCTGTGGACGGTGTGAATAATACACTTGGTGAATTTCATACCTGTGGCTTGCCTATGAATTCCTCATTCCAAGTTACTTGCTAAGCAATATCACATTAGAGTTCTTTTTTAAAGGCAGTGCTGAGTAGGGATGGTACGAATACATTGAAGAGTTTTTCAGGAAATAATTTTCATCACATCTCATTAACATTCATATTTAGAACATCTAAGTACATTACAAAACCTGAATACAATCTTGCATATTTGATTTTTATCACATGCCCTGGGATTTCTAAGTTCGTTCTGGTGCTTTTTTGAGCTGGACCTCAGTGAGCATTGGTTCTGCAGTGGAAAGCTGCAGATTGGTTACAAAGGCAGAAGGATTTTTTTTTTTTTAAAAGCTCTCTGTTTTTCTATGGAAGCTGTGTGTTGTCCAATCAACAGAAAATCCACTGGACAAAAACTATTAAAAATATGGTTTAATCTCCTTTTCATATGCACAGTAGCAAAAAACGGAGTTTACCCTTAAGTAATGTTCTTTTGTGTTAGATTTTTTTTCAGGTAAATAGTAGTCCAACTAACATTGATCATTTTATTTGATAAAATTGTGTTTGTATACAAGTCATTCAATCTTCTTTCCAAATAAAAACCAATATTGTTACCATACTCATTAATGTACTCCAAAACAGGGAGAGATTCACAGGCACCAATACTAATGAGAAATGTTGCATTCACTTTAAAATGATCACTGATGTTTAAGATGATTTTCCATATGTTTCCCATCTTGCATTTAATTTACAGATTCTATTTCATTTCAAAGTTTGATTAGATATTTTTGGGTCTACTTGTAACAGTGGCGAGAAATTGAGTATTATGTGAAATGATTTATTTGGGGGATAAAAACGTGCTTCTGTGTGTGAGTTTGGTTCTAAGGCCTGTGAGACTTTGATGTTCTTACCTGTCTAAATTCTGCTATTGCACCGTCAGCAACCTGCTTGGGAACTGCACACATTGTTCTGTAAGATATAGATGCCAAGGTAGGCATATGAGATCTTTGCAAATACATACTGTTCAATTTATTAACAAAGCTCTAGATAGGGATGATTGTTGGGTGTCAAAAAGGGATAAAAGTATATTCTTCATTTCGTAGGGCCCGAGTCTTATCTCAGAGGCTGGGGCGTGAACTGTTAAGCAGCTCATAATAGCTTATTACTGTCCTTTTACATACAGATGCAGGAGCTGATATGTGTGATAGAGGATAATATACAAAATCTGAGCTTTGACTATAGATCCTTTTGACTGGTGTAATGTCCTTATGAAAAGAGCCTGAAGTCTGTAAACCAGTAGTCAAAATGAGAATGAGAAATCAGTCGTTAAAAATCCTCTCACAGTAATATCCCACAGTTTAACCTGTAAATCAGTACATCACTTTGTCAAAAAATAACCAGAGTAAAGCAAAATTTAAAAAAGGTATTTACATCTGTAAAAATCTTAACATCTAAGATGCTTCTTGCTTGACATGTCATTCCAAATTCTGTGCATTTCTTCTGGTGTTATCTGGTGCACCGTGATCACCCTGCGGTACCTGCACAAGCTGTAGGCCATTTTCCAGTGGTTGAAGCCACTGTTCTGGAAGGGGTGGATGCCCAGCTTCCGAAGGCAGAGTCCAACATACACATCTTCCAGATGGAGGAGTCTGGTGTGAAGGGAAGTTTTGTAAATCAGTTCTGCTACATCTGCTGAAAAAATGTAGCCAGTGCCCGAACAGAAGGGTGGGTAATTGCTGTCAGGATACAAATCTCTGGGCATGTACCACTTGCTGCGAACATCTCGTATTGGCCCTCCGTTGATAACGTAACCAGTGAAGTACCTTCTCCTTGGCTTGGTGTTAGGTTTGAGCAGCTTATAAATAAGATTATCCATATTTACAAAAATATCACTGTCTGTCTTCATAACGTACTTTGCTTTTGAACAATATGTTGCTACCCACCTCATCCCCATTAATGTTTTCAGAGTGAGGTTATGATAGGAATCAATAAAATCCTCTACAATAATGTCATGAAAAATTTGGCTTTCTTGCTCTACCATCTGATTTAATACAGGATCTGCATTTTTCCCAAGAAGAAATAGCGTGGCAATCTTAATTCCTTTAAAATTGTTTTCGTCTCCCCACGTTTCCCGAATTGCTTGCCTTGCATCAAACTCTTTGTGAGTTGTGCTGATAAGAATGACCAAGAAAGGGACGCTCTTCTCGCATTTATTAGGTTCATTGATGAGAAAGTCAAAGGAATGTGGATTTATAGGTCGAGTTCTTATGTTGCCAAAGGAGACATTTTTTCTGGCTATTGATATGCTATTGACCTGTCTGTGGCCAGTGTAGGAAGAAGTAGGACGAGTTATACTTAAGTACCAGAGAGCGCTTGCCCAGCAAACTACTGTCAAAACGTACAAGCATGAGACCTTAGAAGCCATTGTTCCTGTAGCTCTTCTATTTGGTGTGAAGAAGAAATAGTCTTCTCACCATGAGGGTACCAATGTCCCAGACAGGCAGCATATTACTAATGGCACTGGAAAGTTCGATATAGAAGCGTAACTCTGTGATCATTCATGGATCTCAAGTAGGAGTTATTAACCCTGATGATACTCAGCTTTTCTTCTTTTACTAGCAGCAGCTTCCATTTCTTGGAACTCTCTGTTATTTCTGAAAAAGATGAAGAAAAAATTTTCTATTGCTAGATCATAAAAGCCTATGGCAAGAAAAATGAGTCTATATGTGACTGGCCATTAATAAGCTAAGTCCCTTAATGCATTTCTTGGCTGTTCTTTTCAGCTTTTATGAGAGTTCTACAATGTGTGATAGGCTGCTAGAATACAGCAATCTAAATGAAGTAACGCTTTTAAGATGGATAATGCCTCATAGATTATAAATATATACATATATAAATAAAGATTAGGCATGCATAGCATGTTGGCTTTTGAGGTACTTTTAAAAGCATATATAAAAATCATTTTGTGTTTTTTTAGTACTTACTTTCTTCCTAGCTTTTTTTCCTGGACTTCTATAGTTTTTCAAAATATGCCATGGAACATTTTAAAATTACTTAATGATAAATAATGTATGCTATTTTAGGCTTAATAGCATCTGTGGCAACTATGCACATACGTATCTTCAGATCCTTTTTAGTCTAAATATTGGTGATGTTTCCCAAGCCAACAGTGGCATCCTTTGGAAGTAAGGCAGAGTTGTACTGATGGGCAAATGCAAAGTAGAAGACAAAGGAGAAAGGGAGAGTTGTAAGTCATCTTACCCATGTAAAGATCAGCCCTCCAAGAGACTCCATAAAACTCTAGAAATAAATTAACACAATCAGTTATTCCTTTGGCTTTCTCCTCCTCTCCTTGCAAACCAGGCTTTGCTTTTCATGAGAAGGCACCGCATGTATGCCATGCAGACAAACCATCCTGGCAGCCCATCAGCTGTGCTAATTGGCAGGCCTTAAGCAGAGCCCCATGCACCCCTCTGGCTCTGGCAGCCCTCCTGCTGTGCTGTGGGAATGAGCCAGCCCCGGAGCTTGCATGGTTCCTGGGAATTGAGTCTATTTATTGTTGTTTCATGGAAATGAGACAAGCTACCCTGTGCCCGCAGGATCAGTGCTGGCTCTCCAAGACTCGCCAGTATGTGAAGAGTGCCTGTAGGCTCCAGGTTGCTGGTTTTTTATTGTTACGTTACCTCTGAGCTAAAGGGTAGTAGAAGCAAGCAGCAGACAGCTTTACAGAAGAGTCTTTGAAATATTAAATGTTTACTTTGGAAAGTATAAAACATACATGGATTCAAAGGAAAAGACAGAATCTCTGTCTAAGAAACGTGCTTTCTGTTTCCATGCTGCTGTGGCACATTGTTTGGATTAAATCAAGATGCTTATCAAGGCACGTATGCTTTCCATCTGTTGGGTATTTACGGTCTCCTTTCTTCCCCTAAAAGCAGCTAAGAGTGTGGCCTGCAGGTTCCTGGAGCAGGGTCCCCTGACAGGTGATGGGCACTGTGGGTTTTGAACTGGCAGCACCAGCTAGGCAGGTTAGCAGACTGTTATCTCGTGTCACGGTTTCACACTGAGGTATAAAACAACAGAGAAACATCCAACACTTGCTAAATTTATACTAAATATAACCTCCCACAACAGCTCATAGATCCTTATAGCTAGTGCTGTCCTGCTGATCCTCATTAGATCCACTTTCAGTTGTTTAGTGACCCTTCCTCCCTTAAACAAAATAGGAAAATTTGAGTTTGTAGCTTGCTGCAGATCTCTGTCAGTGCCAATAGGTTTTGCCCTATAACCCAGGCAATTTAATGAGGCGGAGGTTATCTGCAGTTTCCTTTACTGCTTGCCACAGCCTTTGGAATTTGTGATCTTTTCCCATTAATCAGTAGCAGTTAGCTTTTGGGAGTAGTATTTTTAGATGAGGCCTTTGATTGTCCCATAAGGCTGCAGAATACAATGACCTCAGCCTCCACGTACATCCCGGTAAATAAACATAGCCATGATATACGTGGCTGCCGTTTCAGTGCTTGGAGAGTGGGGGTATCCTGTCGTGACAACCCACTGCACTGGGATGCAGTTCTAAGAGCAACACGCTTGACCTGTAGGTTATTTTCAGGCTTTGTTGTGAATCCCTGATAACTGCATGCCCTGGAAATCCCAATGGGGAAATGTACAAAAATAGAGCAATTAGTCTAAGATCTAGAAGGCTATTAATAAAGAAATCAGCAAGAACTGATTTGAAAATGCGGAGTGCGATCTATATGGGTCAGTGTATTTAAAGGACTCAAGTATGTGGGGAAATCTGAATGCAGCTAATATTCTGCATATGTTAGTATGTATTGCATTCTCTGACTATTTTTTAGCATCTCTTCTTTAATAAAAGCAAATGCATTAGTTACCATGAGTGCTCTGCAGGTAGCTGAGGGAAAGGGAAATTGTAACAACAGCATCTTTAAAAACTGCAAAATTACAAAAAATAGCTTTTTAGTTCTGTAATGTCCTGGATGTGATCTCCAATCTCATGTGCTCAGAAATGATCAGAAGCAACAAAAGCCTTACACCATTTGTAAGAAACATTCCCTGCTATTTGAGGGAATGTTTCTGATCAATTATGAGATCTACAGATAATGGCTGTCCAGAACAAACATCTCATCCTGGTCCTTACACTGCCATCCCTTGAAACAAGTTGACATTTTTTTTTCTGTTAAATTCTGTTTTTTCCCTTTCCCTTTTCTGGAAAAATAACAGTTTAGAGTGGTTTACAACATCCCCAGAGTAATTTATCAGTGAAGTGCAGGCTAAGTGGATAAAAGTGAACTGGCTCTAATTTTCATGGTAAGTGAAGTTTTAGATTTAATTACTTTTAAAGAAATTGAGAGGGGAGGGGTGGAAAAAAAAACCAACAATAACAACGGAGCTCCCTGCTTTCCTGCATGGCCCGTTCTGCCATTTCTTCTCTGCTGTGAGGTGAAGACCAAGGTTCACGTTCCCGCTTTAACTGAACTTTTTGCTATGTGGGGAACAGATTAGCAGAAAATAGCACTGGCAAACTTGGCAGATAGTACAAATACAAAATAAAACTCTATTTTTCTATTATGTTCTTGAACTGTGTTGCACTGTATTTGAAGGCCCTACTAGCAAGATGTGGATTGTCACAGGGAGAGCAGAAAGCTTTCATTGCTCTGGATTTTGTTGGTTGGGACAGGTTATGTCGTGTTTGTGGATGCTGGCACAGCCAAGGGGACTCATCACCTCCTTGTTTCTGTCTTGCAGGGTAGCAGCAATGTTCAGCTGCTAGATCCTTGGCCTTAAAAACGTTTTAATTCAATCTGACCCTTTCCCAGCCTAATTGTCATGCTATTAGTAAGCAAAGTCTCAAACTTTATTGTGGCAGATGATTATGAAAAGCAAATGCTTACTGTCATGTTTCCATATTGTGACTCAACGTTGTGCACCTAATTGCACTATTCACAGCTCGTGCTGTGCAAGCCAGACAAGTCACCCAGTTGCAGCACAGAAAAAGCACTGTGCAACTTCTGCAAGTAATTGACCTGATGGAGATTGTCTGTATGCACAAATCTTTTACGGGCTGACTGCACATCGAGAATAATCCTCCAGATAATGAGCATATCTGAGAATCTTACTAAGCGTTCGTGGGCAATTTTCAGACCGGCAAATACCATGCACCAATGGCAGGATGGGACCTATATTTTAGAGTAATGCCGTTTCTTCTCAGAGGTTGTTGCTGTTTTCTTTCAAGAATGCCCAGCTTGGTTTTCATATGTGAATGTGGTTGGATTGATGAAGCTAGGTCCTGGTGGAAGGCTATGACATGCACTGCAGCTCTTGAAGCCTGGCATGGTGCTGTGTCTGTAACTCATACCATATCATACCTACAGCTGTGGCACACGTAGGGGCTGGGTTGGGCACAGAGCTGAGCTGTAGGGCAGAGCCAGGCAAGAAGCCCCAGGAGGCTGATACTGCTCATCTCAGCACCTGCGGACCTCCCTGGCTCAGTGTGACTCAAAATAATGCTGTGTATCTCTGACAACATGTACCTATTACTTTCCCCAAAAATGGGAGGGAATGCAGCTGCTAAATTATTTAGTAAATGTAGCAAACTCTACTCATTTTCCCTAAAGAGAGATTTTTGCAAGTTTCCTATAATTATGGCTTTCATCTGTATATAGGCCAAGACACTGAAATGTCTTCGCCATTTAAGAAGTCCTTAAAATACCCAAGTGTGATTATTGTTGAGTCTTATCAAGAAGGTAATTACCCTGAACATTAGGAACGCGTCCACAAAGGAATCTGGGGATGCTGTTATGATCTTGGCTGTATGTTTTCACAGTAATTTCTTGAGAAAATTCTGTACAGATGGCATAGGTGATTTAACAGGAGATTGCAAGCTCTTTTCCAGCAACTTCATTTGAACATTTCTTACATGCTCTAAATGCTTTTGCTATGCCCAGTGAAATGGACCTGAAACCAAATCAGTACTGCAGAGGAAGACCTTTCTTACTAGACTGTATGCGGAAAGATACTGCAACAGAAGCCAAAGTTTTGGGCTAGAGGGAGGAAAGTAAAAGAATTAATTTCAGGTCCACGCTTTTTGCAAAAATCAGTGCCTCCCATTTGGGGGCCCAAACTATCATATGCAAAAAGAGGCTGGCTTTCCTTCTCTGCCATCAAAGGCAATAAAAATGAGTATTTTCTGAAAATCAGGCAGCGTGTTAAGATATACTCTTTGTACACAGAGAACAATTTCTTGCTCGCAGAAGTACTGATGTTGTTTGCCCAAGGCAGTAACTGAATGTGAAAGCTAGTGTTTGCACAAGTGATTCTTTCATACTAAGAGTTATTTTTGCATAAATGCTGATTTGCAGATGTTTTATGCTATCTTCCATCACTGACATAAAGAACTGATCTCTGGAAATAAATTTGAAAAATATTTTTAAAGTCCTAATGCTTACTACCCGCTCTTAACGTCAGTAACTATAAGGATAACTGGGGGATTAGCAAGTTTTATTCAAAGTTTCTGAGTCTTTGATAGGGAAAATACATGTTCTAGTTAAAATCTCCAGTAAATGTGCCCATGCTACTGAAACTTTAAAGCTGCAGAGTATCTTACCAGCTATAAGACATTCCACATGAAAGTAAGTCTGTTTACGAGTGACTATTCTGTATTTTCCACTTAATATGTTTTCAATATATATGTGTATAAAAACAGGATTTTCTGTTTTTTTTCAAGAACTGCTGAGACAGCCTAAATAAGATGATTAAACTGAATTTTCATTGCTTTGCATTTTTCTTTTCTTAAGAAAGGATTATGGTTTTGTTTTTTCTTTTTCTTTTT